TTTCACTCCCTCGTCCAAGTCGCTGATGAAGACATTAAAGAGTATCGGTCCAAGGACCGAGCCCTGCAGGATCCCACTGCCCACACCCTTCCAGGTCGAAACCAACCCATCCACCACGACTCTCTGGGTGCGACCCTCTAGCCAATTCGCCACCCACCGGACTGTGTAGTCATCCAAGTCACAACCTCTTAACTTGTTCACCATTATGGCTCCACAGACCCCTGCCAGCCTGTGCCCTGCTTTGGGCCCCACCAGTGCTGGCCCTGGGACATTGGTCCCAAGATGGTGACCAAGGAGCGGGGCACCTGTCAAGGGGCAGGGCTACCCATGCAGCCCTCGACAGCTTGCCAAAACTGGGTGAGCGGCTCTCCACCTGAAATAATTGCCCGCTCCTGGACTAAATAGTTTTTAAAAATGTTTTTACAAGCTTTGGGCCAAGGTGGATTGATTTAAATCACAGTTGACTTAAATCATGGTTTAAATCACCATGAGAAAACCCTGATTTAAATCAAGTTTCCCACTGATATTTTGTCACATTTCTTAAACAATGGTGCAAATCTGATCACTAAAACATGTTAATTTACAACTCAATATAGCATTTTACATCTGTCCGTAAACTTTTTTTTTAATTTTCAAATGTTATTAACTCTAACAGACAAGCCATCACAACACTAAACGTACACTGTCCTTAAAACTTCCACAACTAGATCTCATCTTCCCCACTCCCACTGTCATTTTTATTCATAGACTGAAACAGAAATACACGTTTTCCTGCTTCTTCAACTCCCAGTCGATTTCTTAGCTTTGAGTGAATAATACCATACGATGAAAATATGCTCTCTGTCCCTGCAGAGGAAGCTACTGCTGTGAAAAGTTTGCAACTGAAGGAACTCTGTTTCTAGGTGCCTGGCTAATAATTTCCACCAATTCAGGGGAGTGACTGTTCAAAACGACATCAGTAAACATGCACTGTTTAAATGGTTCCCCTCCAGCCCTGAAATTTATGACTGGCATAACTGAGGAGTGATTTTGAGATGCCCATGCCATGGCAGCATCATCTTCTTTAGAAGTTAATTATCTACCTTTAACATCTGGGGTTGAGAATGTTCACAAGAAAATGAGGTGGAGTTAGTGCTTGATCCAGTTGCTTCTTTATTGCCTGAAGTTTAACTTTCTGGTTAGGTATTTCTTTCTTCAATGTCTCTTGAAGTGCCTTCCAAATTTCAACAGCATCAGCAATGCAGCAACAATCTCTCTAAAGTTTGTCTAAGGCTATGGATATAGGCTTCAGTATATTGAGCATATCCTCTACATTCCTCTTTAATCCAATGTTAGATACTTTGGATGAGATACTTCCATTTTATCATGGTTTTCTTCACAAATCTGTAAAATAGGTCAGTTCTTAATAAATTGTTCAAAACAACCACAGAATTCCATCTAACATCTTGAGGGAGAACATTTGGATCCTCCTGCTCTCTTCAGTGAAGCTGAAGCAAAATGGTTGTTACGGCAGTATTTTGCAACTTCAACAATATTTTCTTTTATTCCTGGAGAAGTACTTAAGTCTTTGGCTAAAAGATGCATTAAATGGGCACTGCAGCCATGTTATTGAGGAGCATCCTTCTCTTTCTTCTTCTTCTAAGTATCTTCTCATCTTTGCCACGTTTGCAGCATTGTCTGCGACAAAACTGCGCATGTAACAGTTGAATTTTTGTTCAATTTATTACAGCTTTCACTGCCACTTCTTTTAAATATTCTACTGTGTGAGCATTTCCCGATGTATCTATTGTTTCTGAAAGATATGCAGCCCCATCTGTTGTCACACAGACACATTACTGGTGTGATGGGCTAGCTGGCAGTGACCTAGCTCAGGGGTTTTGAAAGGGCAAAAGATGATTGGAGGACTTGGGATTCCCTTTCCTCACCAATCAGGCCCAGAGATTCACCCCTCATGTCCCCTGATTGGCCCCTTGGGTCACCTGGAGGGGAATAAAAGGGGCAGCACCTGACTCAGGGGGAGACCAGTGAGGGACTATGAAGGAGGAGCTTTGAAGAACTAGCAAGAGCTGAGCCAGCAGGGTGGAAGCAGTTGCCCTAGAAGAGCCTGGAGGAGTAGGACCTGCAGGCAGCAGTGGGACCCTCAGCAACAGGGTGTGTGGCTGGTAAGAGAGGTATCCTGCTGGGCTCCAGGATGCCCTAGGAGAGGCTGCGGCCAGCAGGAGGATCTGAGCAGCGACTTGAGGGGTCCTAGCTTGGCTTCCAGCTCCTCCAATCGGAGACCAGGCAGCTTAACGTGAGGCCAGGGCTCCAGGAAGGTCAAGACCCCTAGCAGCTTGAAGTAGTACCAGCAGTGGTGGCTGTGTGGCAGTGTTTTTGCCCACTATGTGGGAGATCTGAGTTCAAGTCCTAGCTTGGTGACTTGGGGCGAGTGAGCTAACAAGAAATTCCTCTTGCAGTAGACAAGAGCCATTGTGGTTTTCCCCCCTTTCTCCCCCTCCAGTGGCCCAGGCCCTATATTTCTTTGTCCTTTAACATTTTGTATTTTGTGCCTTTTTATATTTCCCCAAGCAATATTGTTTGCTCTGTTTGTGTTGTTTTATATTTTGTTAACCCTGTCTTTTGTCA